CTGTAAAATTTATAATTTATAAATATAATAATATATTTCCTTATCTTATATAAGTACAAAGATTCTTAAGTACAATGCTAGTTTGACTTTTGAAGGAGAAAATTAAATGGAAACTAATTTGCATACAGAAAGCTCGGTGAATTCAAAAATTTGTGTGCAGATTGCACATCGGTTTTTTTCTCTCATGAGAGCGGATGTGCTTGGTTATCGCACGTACGAGTTTTCTTCTTAGGAATAATAAATCACCCAAAGATGCATACAATGGATAAATCTTTGCGAGAAAATGCAATAAGATAGATTAGATTATCAAAAAATTGTATAGATTACTTTAATGGAATATACTTGCATGAATATACTTTTATCTTGTCATGTATCAGAATATCTATGTTATGAGGTTTTATGCCGTTGATAATGTAGTCTCGTCTGAAATAGAAAAATTATTAATTATTTTTATATTAATTAATTAATATATTTATATTACTAACCTTGAGAGATTGGACGAGACTCTTTCCATATTATGAAACATATTATTGGTAGGATTGTTGGATACATTTTAACCATTGTATAAGTTATCTCTATTGCCATATTGTTAGAGTGAGATTGTGTTATAAGAGTAATAGCTCTCGCAATTCTATATGGCACCATAGTTACAAAAAACCCAGTATAAATACCAACTGCACAACACAAAAGTTATTTCAGTATAATGAAGAAGCATAAGAGATCTATAAAGACTTAAATAATCGCCATATTTGCATTAAAATGAAATTTTTACGTACCTAGAGAGATAAAACGCTTCATATCTTTGCTTAACGTTTCAGTTTGTGATTTTAATAGTATCAGGTCATGTAGGATGAAGTAGTTGAGCAAAATAAAAATAAAACACGGGAATATTAGAAACATAATAGTGGATGAAACGTAAATATCGTACATAATTTCTTTTACAAAATGATCGTACAAGTGTAATTCTATGGCTGTTGCCATTGTACATATTGCCCATATGAATAAGATTCCTTTTATAGCTGTTGAAATTTTTAAAAGCGGCTTGAGAAGAGGCGAATTTTTTTGACAAATGACAACGTACGTCTCAATATTTAGTAGAATTATCGTCAGGTTGGACGTGACGAAGCTCATAAAAAATACGTAGTCGAGATTCATCTCTAAGCGTATATCGAAAATCCAGTTAAGTACTTGTTCAAGTGGTTCAAGCAAGATTACAAAGTTTGATAATACCAGACCTACTATGTAACAGTTAGTGGATGTGTGCATGGTAGAATTTAATACGATAAAGAGACCGAGAAAAGCATTTAGGCTAATGCCTACCACTAGTAGCGTGAAGTCCATGATATTACGCACGGTTGCAGGAATAATTGGTATAATGATGTTCATTTTGGTAGGATTAGTTGTAATGAGGTTCTGCATGTGTACTGTTTGTCCAATGTTAGTGGAAGAGTGCAATGTACAGGAGATTGATCGGTTCAATCTGCGAATCTTCAAGTCTCTCATTAACACTTTAAAAAATTCTATGTACACATCTTTGTGTTCTTAAAACTCGTACACTTTTTCTGAACTTTGGTGTGATAACAAGCTTTTGCAGCGATTGAACTATGTTTTACTGCAGGAAGAAATATGGAAGAAGTTAACGACAAATTATGGCACGGCACATGTTGCTTCGACAATCCACATGTATATTACTGACTGTGACTGAACGATGGTTTGCAGGATCACCACCTATTTACCTTCCCCTATAGGAGTGTGACGCCCTGCAATATCATAGGTGGACATCGTCGAGTAACTAACAATGTTATACAATTTGCCGACACGCAAACGTTCCATTTAGTAGAGTGGTTTAACGAAGTGCGAGTCGATTATTAGAACTTCAACGTTGCTTATTCCATCATTTATAATTCTGAAATAAATTTATTATTTTGAAAAAAAAAATCAACAAGAGACTTAAATGCTATGCATTAAGTCAAGCCTCGTTGATAATATAAATAACATTTAATGAGATACACTCAGTGAATGAAATTCACTCTATCTATGCTATTTTTTAATTTCTCCGTGTTAATAATAGACTGCTGCAGAATTCATTCATTTGCATAATAAGATATGAGTGTAAATATGAAAGCGCGTCTAATATCTTGCGAAGAATTATGGACATTCTTATTTACGAGTAGGAAGCATCTGTCCTTGAGGATTCGCTCGAAGGGCTTCGCTTTCTGGCCGCAAATAACGACCAAGTAGCAAACAGAAAAAATAATGTTACTAGAATAAATCTTATTTTTTTACGGCTTGCTCATTCGAGAAAGAGAAGAGATCAGCTGGACAATGTGGTTAGATATAGCTATGCGAAATAGGAGGAAAGAGAATGTCTCGCATGCGACTGTATAATACAAGATTTGCAGGATAGTTTTGGCAACTAGCCACAGGCGTGATATCGGTCAGCTTTTGCTGGTGATAGATTTATCGTTAGATTTATAAGTCCAACCCTTTTGGCGCAAAGGGGTGTTGTATCTTTCTGAGCGCGACTATCTGGCGTATTGTGCACTCCGGAGGTACTTACAATCGAAGCGTTATCGAAAGGAAGGACTTGAGAACGATGTATCTTTGTTCCATTGTCGTCGAGGTAATGGAACGAATTAAAAATTGCGGGGGCGGATCGACACGAATATTTATTGTATTGTATTCGTGAAGTTAACATCGATCTTAACTCCGAGTGTGTGAATTGTATCGAGCAGTAATTAATGCTAACTATAGTCCTTTGAGCGAGATTTATATGCAATATGCTGTATTATTTATAGTGCCATGTGTAGCAATATTTGCACATATTTATGCAATGACAATTACTTCATTTATAGATTTTGTGTGTGTGTGTGTGTGTGTGTGTGTGTGTGTGTGTGTGTGTGTGTGTGTGTGTGGATTACTCTATCAGAAGTAGCGTCTATAAGAGTTATTGGAGTCTCTCTTGTGGTTAAGGGCTTTGAGCCAGTTTGACTACGTGTTTTCATCTTCGAACCAGGTGCGAGCGAGCGCGAGGTTAATTTTTGTGGGTTCCTTCGTGCCCTTTTCTTCTTATTTTCGTCTGTCTCGCGACCGGTTTAGTGATGGAGGGCGGTCTCGGGGCCAAATAAGTGCAGTGGCAGGGCCTTAGGGTCCGGGACCGTAACCGGTTCGCCGCCTGGGCATCATTACGATGTAACTTAAGTGACCCTGAAGAGGCTTCGAGCTGCACGATAATCAGCGAGCTGTATTATCATCGCTGAGTAACAACATTCCATTGGTGGCCTCGAAAGTGTAAAGTAGTCATCGCATAATATAGTTGAGTGAACGAGTAGTCTAATAAAAAGTATTATATCATAATATTATATCATAATATTTTACTATAGCTACTTTTTATCTAATACTAGTCACATATTAGACGTAAAATTGATTTATTTGATTAGTTTTATTATAATTTTATTTATTTTTTTATATTTATTGAAATTTTAAATATTTTAAGACTATATTAAATAACCTTACATAAACTGTATTTAAAGAACATGTCTTGTTGCTTATCGTTTGTTTAAAATGTACTTTTTTCCTTGGCAATTATTCCCATCTTTAAGTGTTAACTGTTCCGTCTTTAACTGTTTACATTAAAAATATTAAATTTGAAACGATATTTTTATCTTCATTTTATTTGAGTTTATCAAAATATATACATATAATAATATTGTAAATAATAATCATACTGCGAATATGTAATAAAATAATTTACATATAATTATGAGTACATGTAGAAAAAAATACGTGTCATAGCTTTGCTATCGAACTGTCGTATAGAAGTTTATCTGGGAAACTGATGGTTACATATTTATTTAAATGTGGCACACACCTACCAGACCTTCTGTCACACCTGTTTGACCCGTTTCTCACATAGTTGAGCGACCGGCCATCAGTCGGAACTATGTCGTGACAGTGTTCCCTTTCCGTGTTATCATATAATTAGTTATATAATTAGTTTGTCGTAACTTACTATTACATATTCTTTCTACATCTGTATTATTTTCGGTGCAACACGTAAATTAAATCATTGCATTATAATCTTATGAATGAATATTAATTTGCTAATACACAAGTCTTACATTGTTAGCAGATATTTCATACATTATAAATATATAAATATATAAAACCTGAACCTGTTTTTTTATTAGAACAGGAAGCTATAAGAAGACGTGTAGTTTGTGTTATGTAAATTTTGCGCTGCAGTGATATCAGAAAAAGGCAATTTATTAAGAGTTTGTAAGTTTCACCGCAGTCTCGTGCTCTTCCAAGTACTTTGCTCTTGTTGGTTCTCGTGTCAATAGACTCGATGTATTTTATGCATGACCAGTCGGACAAGTTTTTCCTGATAACCGCAAGCGCGATGCCTGAAGCTCGGTAACATTCGATATTTTATATGCAGGTGTATCTTTAAAAAATTGAGCGAGTTGATGCTCGAGGCTGGCACTTTAATAGCGTAATATAATATAAAATGGTACAAATAATCTTGAAAATTCTTTAAAATTGTATATACATTCCAATAATTTATTGCTTAAAACAAACAGCAAACCGCTTTTTCAAACGCACATAACAAGCTTGTATCTCAGACTTTGAGCTCTGCTTTTTAATGAAATTTTTTAACGTTTAAATGTTTTTATGTAAATATAGTATTATAATATTTTTAAATCGTGACTTTTATTCTATATTCATATTTCTAAAAAGTATTTAAATATGTCATATAATTTAAAATATTTAAAAAATGGCACTGTCCTTTTGATAAAAATATGCACAAAATGCATGTTGTTTACTCTGCTTTTTGAATCAAAACACAAAGCAGTAAAGGAAAGAATAATCTGATAAAAATATAGAATTTGTAACAATTCTCAAATATATTTGTATCACGCGATCATGTGTGATTTAATGTGTTAACGATGATCGCATGTTACGATCAACGATCGCACGTCAAACACAAAAGTAGCTTTCCGAGAAATTTGGCTGGAGATTACACCAGTAACATACTTTTTCTGAAAAAGGAAATCATCAATAAAAGTGCACCTGTGGATTGATTGCCAAGTAAATTACAGTAATCGGCGCTTTTGAACTTAGGATCTTTCGGAAGCATAAAGAAAGAAAGAGAGATGATCTAAGTCGTTTTGCTTGTGAGGGACTAATTTGGACTACGAACCGATTTGGAAGGTTATTGTTTAGCCAAAAAAATAAATAAAAATTGTTAACATTGAAATTTTAACAATATATCTATAAATTTTGATAATTTCCATACGAATTAATTTTTATAGATCAAGTGAATGAATTAAATAAATTATTTGGACTGATTTAATGCTCTTTTTGACTTAAACTTCTAAATTCGAGATTTGATGGTCGTATTATAGTTTGTATCTTATTGATCACTTGGCATACAAAATTACGGTAAGATGGGATCTGAAAATTCGCGGATTTTTGCGATGAAAAATGACCGGAGAAATCAAAGATTATTGTGTCAATCATGTTTCCAAATAATAAAAACTTTTTCTATTGTCTAAGCTTCAAGTAACTTTCCTGGTTTACACAATACTTCTGTGTTCTGTAAGAATGTTTTATTGCAGTTTTTACAGGAGAAGGATCTTTAAAACGATTCTTCGTTTTATATTCGCTTTTTTCGTTCTACATTCCGTATGAAGCTTTTATACTCGTTTCGAGATATGTACATTCTTCTATTTGATCATACGAATCATTCCGCTATCTTTCGATTAACGCACTGGTAATTTTTCCTGCCATTACCTTTGATCATTTTTACATCCTGCATGTTATAAAGCAAAATTGTCTTGCGGTCATTTACGTTTTTTAAATTATTCAATTAGTCCATTATCATTCTCATCGTTTCAGTCATAGGCATTTCTATTCTCCGTTGTATAGTATATCTCTTTATGCTACTTCGTCATATTCGCACATACGTAAATATAGAGCCATAATAATCGTCGTTTTACAGGAAAATCGTGCAGATAAACCTGGAATTAACTCACGTTAACTCGCTTCGCACGGTCGCGAAGTACAATGTGATTCATAATTAATTCGTAGACGTTTACCAACGAAAATATATATGTGAGATTCATTCGCGATGCAAACTTGACTGCGAAAGCTCTGTTGAAAAGAAAAGTAATTATACGAAGCAGCGAAGTTATACGTGGATATTTCTGTCCATGACGTTGTTAGTTAAATAAACCGACATTTATGTTGCGTAGGCTATAGATTTGAAATCTTATTAGGCAAACTTCTTTCCATGTATATAATTATTTTTATCTTACATAATGCTTTAATTATTTCAAATGGCTATTGAAAGAAGAGGTATAGATTCTATAATCCTTCAAAAAAAAAAAAAAAATTATAATAATCCAATGAATCTT